AAATATTATCAAAAGTGCAGTAAGATAAGCACTCCTTCATCATACCAGTGAGACTGTATATACGCAACAATGCATTTTTAGGAAGGGGGACTGGCACCAAGTATCAAGCTTTAAAAGTGTTTATACTAAAAAATTATATTTTTAGGGGTAGATCCTAAGAAAATTAATAGCAATACAGCCAATGATTTATGTAGAAGAGCTTTAAGCATCAATAATATATAATACTAGAAAGAATAAAAAATAAGCAACAGTAGGAGAATGATTAAATACTTTATTAAATATACAAACTTTGGGATATAATATAGACCCTAAAACATAAATATGCTTTATTTCAAAGAATATTTAATAGAATGGAAACATTCTTAGGTTCAATGAATAAGAGAAAAGAGCAGGAAATATATCAGTGTAAGCCCAATTCAGAAAAAAAGGGGAAAAATGTACGCTTAACAAGGAGAAACACCAAAATGCTAACAGTCTTTGTTTCTGAAGAGTGTAATAGTGAGTGATAGTCATTTTGGTTTTTAGTACTTTTCTAAATTTTCTAAGTGGTAGGGAAAAGATCATGTTTTAAATCCCCAACAACTAAAGCAAAACAGCAAAGAATATACTGTTAATGAAAAAATTCTTGGGCCGGCCGAGTGGCGCGTTGGTTAAGAGCTGGCTTGGGACACCAGAGGGCCCCATTTCAGATCCCACATATGAGGGCCAGTGACACTGCCCTCCACAGCTAAGATGCTGAACAACAGCTCAACCTGGAGCTGGGCTGCCATGAGTTGCTGGCGACGGTGTAGGCTGCAGCCCCTGTGGCAGTGGGTTGCCATGGACTACCGTGTGTAGCCAGCAGCCAGCGTGAGCAGCCGTCCAGAAGCCAGCAACTGATGTGCCTCGCCTGGGAAGAGCGCAATGATGGTGCCAAATTGGGCCAGTGAAGCAACGTCCTCCACAACTAGACTGAAGATCAAAAAGACAGCAACTTGTCTGTGCCCCTTTCCCCATTTCCCCAGCGCTGTTCCCATCCCCCAATTTCCCAATAAAAATCTTTAAAAAAGAAAAAAGAAAAATTTCTTCTGGTGCTTGTCAAAACAGTGAGGCCGCCTTTCTTCTTTCTTCGGGGGAACTCCAGTGTAAGTATAGGGACCACTGCGATGTGGTTTTGTAGTCAGACATTGGTCTCATATCCGAACATAACAAGGAAAAGTGGGAATTTAGAGCCAAGAAGGAGTGTATGTGAGGGGCATGGAGTAGATAGAAAATTACCAAGAGAGAAAATATCAGGAGTAAGAGAGAGTCTAGCTAAAGGACCTAACAGGATTCTTGCTGAAGGTAGGCTAAGGTGATCTGACATTACCTGGGTGATGATGAAGGATAAGAAAGCAAATCAGACATTGAGGGTGATCAGATATCAAGGGTGGGAGATTCTGGCTAAACCAACTTAGCAGAATTCTTGTGAAAATTGGGCATCAGGAAGACAAACATGGAAGCACAAAAGGTGAGACCTATATGGGAAGAGGACTCAGTGGAGCCACACTGAAGTTTAGTCAAGGAGAGACTTTGCCATATGCAGCCCGAAGCTGAGGAAATGTGGAGCCTTTGCTTGGAACTTACAAATAGATCAACACTCCAGATATCTCTTTATCTGCCCATGTGGACCTAAGTTTATTTACCTGCCAATCCCCTTGCTATAAAACAAACAAGCAAACAAAAAAGAAAATAACATCAGATCTAAATCTTGGTCACTGCTTCTTTAAGTCCTATTACTGACAAGCTCTTTCCAATTACTCGTAAAATAATTTGGTAAGATGGCACACTAAGGTAAAGCGTGGTATAGTATATCTGCATGGCTTGGAATAGCATGTATTTCATGGGGAAACCTATTAGCAAAGTGGGAGAAATATTTTTATTGTGAAAACAGTATCGTATTATTATAGAAGGTTGGAAACTAGAAAAAAGTAATCACTTCTGATACCATCACAATAGAACAGCTTGTGTTATCTTTAAAAATTTTCTTCCATGCTTTATTATACATACACTTATATTGTTAAAATTGTGCTGAATATACAATTTTGTTTCCTGCTTTTATATTTGTCATTATATAATCAGCACTTTCTATTTGCCACATGGTCTTTTCAGCTGTTGTTATTATTTTAATGAGTACCTAAGTAAATATTTCATATTTTAAGTAAATTTATTAAGTAAATATTTCATATTTTAAATTTTTTGATGTTGAGCAATCAAGATGTTTCCTTTCAAATTTTCTGTAAAAAATAGTTCTAGCCAGTCACTCAGTCAATAGAAAGAAGTTGAATGAAAAGCCCAATTTGCTTACTTACCTCATCTATAAATTCATACACTCAACCCACAACGGGTGACTTGATTTTATATGATCAACATCTGATCAAATGGAAAATCTTGTAGAGAGAAATAATCCAAAAGGAACTAAAATTTCAGAGGCTATAGTTTATTTTGGAGCTTTTACAAAAAGAGACCAACTCTGCAATGTGCACAGTTGACAGCCTGATAAATGCTTGTCAATGAAAATTATGTTAAACTCACACTGACTGTTCTGAAAATAAACTAATAATAAATATAAAATTGGGGAGGAAGAAAAAAGTTATTCGTATCCCATAAAATAATAATCTAAGTGCAATAAAGCAATTTTGCACACCCTACCCAAAATTACAGGTTACACATTTTGGGTTAACTAGTCTGTCCATAGTAGGAAAGGCTGTAAGTGCCTAAATCATTTTTCTTTGCAACTTATCATGCCTAATAATAATTTATCAAGCAATTTGCTTTCATCTTTTTAGCATGGAAAAAAAGTGGAAGCAGATGTATGGAAGATTAGTCTAGTTGTAAACAACTCGCTTTCAGGATTTGATACATAGACCTGCTGCTGCTCCTAACTTTTGTCCTTTTGTTCTCTCTGCACAACCACACAAAACTGAATCCCTCCTCCCCCCAAAAGTCATCTTACTTATATTTTAGTAACTAGAATTTGCAATATGAATGGGTGATTGAAATGAATATCATTAAGAAGATTCATTATTTTTTGAATTCAGATAAACCTGCACATACAGCAAAACTGAAGTGGGTATGGTTTTCTGGGAAGACTTTCCTTGTGATAACTTCCACAAAAGCAGAAAATTCAGCTGCACGGGTTACTGGAGGTAAAAATGGATTCACACTTAGGCAAAGAGATGGCGGAAGTGAGGCGCACGTTAAATGGCAGAGCTGTTAAATGATGCTCCTTAAACCTGCACACTCTGGTAGGAACAGCAGGTAGAATTGTACTGCAACCTGCATCTCATGAATTGAATTGGAGTGTGGAGGCCTATAAAAGCCAAATGGTACAAGAAGCAAGACCTCAATTATGTGTGCTTTTGGCTGCTGAACCAGTGAGCCCTCTGGCTGACTTGTGCTTCTCCAATTTCCCTTGGATTTCATGCTCCATCATCCCTGAAGGGAAAGATTTAGAGCATAGAATCTGTTGACATCTTGTTAGTTCTGAAAGAATAGGACTTCTGAAGAGAGAGAAAAAACAAAAAAAAAGCCAAGAAAGCCCTGTGGGAATCCAAAGAGTTGGCCGTGGAGCAGTTTTATGTGCATGTGAAGCTTTTCAGAAAGGAATCCTGTCTGTGTCTCTGTTCCAAGATTCCCTGCTAGAATCCTTCTCAAAACTGAGAGCAACAAGAGAGGTCATTTTAAGACAGTCCTGAAACTCAAGTCCCCTTCACATACTTTTAAAACTGCTATCAAGTACTTGAAACTTCTCTTTTCCAGAATAACCAAGCCTAACACTATTAACGGATCCTTATTACTATAAAATTTGAATACCCTTCCCATTTCTCCAGTCTTTATCAGTCTGCTCTGCATACAATCTAGCTGATCTACTTCTTTCTTGAAGAAGGGACCCCAGGAAGAAGCAATTTCGCCAGCTCTTTAGTACACAGTTGAGCAGGACTACCCGTTCTCTCCTCTGGACTCTGTGCATCTTTAGATTTGACACTGCATAAAACACGTGCTGCTGCTGAGTTACCCAACCCCTCCTGAGGGTGTAGAGTATATTGGACTTAATAGAAATATATAAATGAGAAGGTACAAAGTCACATGAGTTCTGCAGCCAGCGCGATGTCATCCAGTGACAATCAGGAGTGACAGTGATTGGGGTAGCCAGGAGAGCGCGTAGCATCCCTAAAGGCACGCAGGTGTTCGTGTATGCCTTTAAATGCCACGTGGGACAAATAAAACACTGAATTCACCCATGGTCTCCAATTCGTTACCACTGTACCTCAAGCCAGTCTCTGGTGTGGCATTAGCAGCTATACACGGGAAGCTGGACCATCTAATGTTCTAATTCTGCTCAGCAAATAATACATGGCATGCCCCCAAAATAAACTCTTTTGAAAAGGAAGGAATTTACTACACAATGATCAGCAATTATTTATTTTGAATCTTTCAGGAATAAACTTTTAAATAATCCTAAAGCTCTCATCACATTTGGATATTGGTTGAGTCCTCTTTTCCCAAAGCTAAAGAGACCATGTTTATTCCACACATACTTGTTATTAATCATAATGTTAGCCTTTATTTAAGTTACTATGTGGCAGGCACTATGCTAAGTATTTTATGCACATGATTAAAAGTAATCCTCAACAAAAGAACATGCAATTGGCAGTGCCCACAGCTAGTGCAGTGCAGAGCTTTTGCCTCTGTTTTTTCTCTCCTTGTCCCTTTACGCCTTTCAAGGATAAGACACAATGTTTTCACCCATAACACTAGGTGCCAGACACAACTGCCCTTAGAAATAAACTCATTAAAAAATTTCTACTGATTTATTCAGCAACTGCTTACAGACCTGGAAAAACAAGAAACTTCCAGCTGCTTATTTTTGAGAGAGAGAGAGAAAGAAAGAGAGAGAGAGTGTGTGTGTGTGTGTGTGTGTGTTTCCTATCCAATTGTCATAGATTCACTTCTTAAAACACTCTCCCCTTATACTGCAGACAGAGGTCGGATGGAGAATCCATCTTTTTCCATTATGAAGAGCTGCCTGGCTGCTGGGCAGGAAGAGCTCATCCTCCTGCAGGAGAAAGTAAAGAATGGGAAACTATCTGTGGACCAAGCCCTGGAGAAATTTAAACACTGGCAGATGGGAAAGACTGGCCTGGAAATGTTTCAGCAGGTAATACTGACCCCAATCCCTTCTGGAACATTCCCTCATTTACATAGTTCCTAGCTTCTTCGTAAATGTTTAGTCTTCATGAGAAATGCAAGTAACAATTCTTTTGTTTTTAAATAGCCATACACACACACACACACACACACACACACACACACACACACACACAAAGAAAAAATATTTTCGAACAACCAATTAAAAATTTGAAAATACCCAGACTTCATGTTTACAAACCCTTGGTGAACTCAGTGCTGGGGCCCAGTGTATCAGAGCCAATTCCTAGCTATATAGTGGATGTTTTATGAATTTCATTGCTGAAATTAAGGTGAAACATCTTTATACTAACATGTGCTCAACATTCCAAAGAGTGTATTATGCAGACCAGATTTAAAGGAAACAAGAAAATGATTGAAATCATATCAGGCAATAGTTCTAAACGAAATGTAATAGTATTATCTGCTCTTCCCCTTAAGAGATATACATGTATATACACAGATACAGATATGTGTGTGTGTGTGTATACATATACACACAAGGTTCTGCAGAGAAATGATGTCAAGAGCATTAACTTCAGATAATTTACATACTGAGAGGGGATCTGGAGTAAGTAGTTCAGAAATGAGAACATATATCATATACATCTCATGATGTTCTTCAGTGAAGGGTATCAGAACCTTATTCTATGTATCCCACGGGCCTTCCTACTCCCAAAACATTCCAACAATTTTTGTCTTCTCATCACAGAAAGCCCCAGTGCCTTAGACACCAGCTGTCAGACAGCTGTTTGATGAAACACATTGAATTAGCTAGTTTAGGCTGAAATATAAACAATCATAATGGCTTAAAATCCTATCTTTCCCAAGGGATCATTTTTTGTTGAAAAACAATAGGAAAACATTTTTATACATCATAAAAAATGGATTCCCAAAGGTGAAATTTAAACAATGTGGCATATAGGCAGGAGATAGTTTAGGCAAGGGACATCTCTCAGTACATCTGAGATGATTCCTAGTCAGAAACCAGCCATCTCTAAGGGAAGCTCTGCGTGCGGGTTGGTGGCTGGACATGGTTCAGATTTTGCAGCGCTAAGTAAGGACAGTTATTTTGCCAAACAAATGCAAAAGAATGTTGATTGTAGAGTTCTGCAACTACTCACTGTTCATGATCAAAATCACATTGCTTTTCAACTCATGCCACTGCCATCACCATCAAACATCCCTCTTATCCTGAACCGGTTATGATGTGCTTAAGTGCACACCTGCAAATCACTTTCCTAGCAATGCTAGATTATATAAATTATGTTGAAATAAGTGAGTTGTACTTCATCGTCCTTAGACCCTTCAATAATAAAGTTTATAATTTAAAGCAATCCAACCTAAATATTATCTTCTTGGAAATGACTTCATTAGCTGTTTTATTAAACCTTTGGTTATTTTTATTTTGTTTGTGTATTTATATTCAGTATTGTTTTAGAAAGAATTTAAGGTAGTCCATACTCACTACTTCAAGATTACTCTTACTTATCTAATATATAGGGTCAATGTGATAATGAATATGGTTATTATTTATGCAAAACAAAACAGAACAAAATTTAACCTGCAAATGCAAGAATAGGCACCAAGGCTACTTTCTATAAGTCCAGAAGTTTAGTAACAGAGTGAATATTGTTTGAGGTATCGGTCAGTCCCTTTCTGTTTTTCTTCTCTACCCAGCTTTATTTAAATATAATTGACATACTACATTGCATAAATTTAAGTTGTTCAACATATTTAATTGATACACTTACATACTGCAAAATGATTACCACCACAGTGCTAGCTAACATTTTCATCATGTCACGTAATTACCGTTTCTTTTTTGTGCTGAGAACATTTAATATCTACTCTCTTAGAAACTTTCAAATATATAATACAGTTTTGTCTACTATAATCATCATGCTGTACATCACATCCCCAGAACTAATTTATCGTATAACTTGAAGTTTGTACTTCTTTTCCCCCACCCCACCCCCCAGTCCCTGGTAAACACTCTTCTACTCTCTGTTTCTATGAGTTTAAAGTTTTTAGATTCCACACATAATGATATCATACAGTATTTGTCTTTCTCTCTCTGATGTTTCTTACGTAGTAAAATGCCCTCAGGGTCCATCCATGTTGTCACAAATGGCAGGATTTCCCGCCAGTGTAGATCTCAGGTGTTAGGTTGGTAAAACAGTTCCCAAAAGAATTGGGCTCTCGGTTCCAACTCTGACTCTACCACCTATAACTGTGTGATTTGGGAAAGCTACTTAACCTCTCTGTATCTCAGTTTCCATATGTGTAAAATGAGATGATGACATTTTATATGTACTTCATGAAGTTGTGAGGATTAAGTTAGATAACACATGTGAAGTATTAAGGATAGTGATTGGGGCATTGTAAGTGTCAGTTTAGTACTAAGTAGTCATGGTGGTACTGGTGATAGTGGTTAATCGTTCATTTTAATCCATGACAAATTTGTAAATCTAGACTTCTGTTTTCTGATTGTTTCCTCATTTAGGAGAAACTACGTCAACTACGAGATTGTATTATTGGGAAAAGACCCGACGAAGAAAATGTCTATGGTAAGTGAAATTTGCCTATTATTCAAAAATGATAGAGTGATGAAGTGAAAAATGCAATAACTGTGGAGTCAAGCACGACTGAATTCATATCTACACTTCATCACTTTCCAGCTGTGTGACTGGAGGGTGTCTTTAATCCTTGTCTGCAAAACAAGAATAACTATACATATATCTGAAAATGGTTGTATGAGTTAATATATAAAATATTTTCACCTTCTTTGACCTATAATGGATGTTCAATAAATGCTAGTAACCTCTTTTTCTTTGATTTCTATGTAAGTTGCAAGCAAGATAATTCTGCTCCAGTTTCTTTTATATATGAGCCATTATACATAGTATTAAATTTTTAAGGAGTCATACTTCTCAAATAAGGTAGAATAGTCTCAGTATAGTTAGTTCTCACAATTGTTCACATGTGGATTATTTTAAATTGTAGATCTTGGGTTGCCTTCACGCTCTTGGCAATGCAGATTCCCCTTGCTAATAATTAACAGTTGCACTCAGGGGGGAAAAAATAACACAGAAAAACACTCGTTTTAATGTTAACACAAACCAAACATTATTAAGATGGTAAATCTTCTCCAAAGATAAACAACACATTCCAAAATTGAAAATAAATTATATTCTCACTATCTGACCACTCTTTCTCCAAGTCCCTACTCATGCACAGATAATTAAAAACTCATAACCACTAGCAAAGCTTGAAAGCCTTCATCTCTTCCATTTTCAATAATATTGCATAGCTTTTAGCTAGTGCTTCATGTTGAAATTCACCCTCTTAAAATTCATTTTCTTTTCACATTTTTGGGTTGTTATCTACTTTCCCGTAGAGAATCCTTTAAGTTCTCTTGAAATGTTTCCTAAAATAGAAATACACTTTCTAAAATAATTAAGGTCATAAGCATGGGACTGATTTAGAGAAAACTGAGTTCTGAGACCTCCATTCAAATGTGGAATAAGATTAAAATTTTAAAAATGTATAAAATTACAAAATATATAAATAATTTTACTAAGGAACATTAAGTTAATCTTTATTAACTACATACTATATATTTAATATTACCTTATTCATTTCTTACAACAATGTTTTGAGGTAAGTATTAGTTCCAAATTATAAATAGGGAAACTGAGACTGAGAAACTAAGATGCCCAAAGACACACTGATTAGAAACTACAGCCTATTTCTGTCTGAATCCAAAGTCAATGGTCTTAGTCATTGGTGTCTTAATTAGGAATCAACTAGCTCCCCTTCCAGCCAACCCACAGTAAGTAGTGCCAGATAATTTTCCTACTGTACAGAAAACTAATAAATGGGCAGAAGTTTGAGAACTGGTTTCAGGGAGTGGGCAATAGGTAACCTAAGGCTATAATCCCAGAGACAAGCAAAGCTTATGAGGTGGCTCTCAGCATTTCCTGCCATCTGTGCAAAGCAAGGCAATACTGTTGAACTGAGGAGGCAGAGATCAGAGAGTAGGGCACTAAAGCTGCTGCAATGTGTGTGGTGGGTCACTGAAGGGGTAGCTGTGTAGAGAGGCAGCATCAGAGGGAGTGAGGGACTCCGCAAGTCTGTGGCTGAGAGAAGAGCTATATACAAGTGCAGACAGAGACCACTCAAGTCATACAGAGAGCAGTTTCTAGTTCATTGAAAGCAGAACAGAGACATCAGAGTTGGAGCAGAGCCAGGGAAAGCCATACTGGGATATTTGATTCCCTACCCAGCCAGAATGGAAAGGTTTCTTTAACACTTCGTGGAAATACCTGGCATCCTGCTGTGACACCCAAGAGATGTAAGGAGTAAGAACCAAGACTTAGAGTGAGACCGAATCTAGACCTGCCCTAATAAAAACCAAGCCCCTAGCAGATCTACATGGAAGACAGGGAAAAAAACATAATATTTTATATCTACTTATTTTATATAATTTTCAGTGTTCTTCATTCCTTAATGTGGATCTTAGTTTCTGGGGGTTTTTTTTGTTTTTCTTTTTTAAAAATTTTATTGGGGAATTGGGGAAGGGGAAAAGACAAGTTGCTGTCCTGTGGTTCTTTAGTCTAGTTGTGGAGAACGTTGCTTCACTGGCCCATGTTGGTATTATCATTGCGCTCTTCCCGGGTGAGGCAGTCACTCGCCGGCCATTGGATGGGCCGCTCTGGGCGGCTCCTGGCAGCTCATGAAAGCGCACACCAGCTGCTGGCCAGCCCTCCTTCAGCCTACGCTTTCACCGGTGATTCACGGCAGCCCAGCTCCAGGTCGAGCTGTTGTTCACCATCTTAGCTGTAGAAGGCGCAGCATCACTGGCCCTCATGTGGGATTCAAGCCAGGGCCCTGCAGCTCAGAGCTGGTGTCCCAAGCCAACTCTTAACCAACGCACCACTCGGCCGGCCCCTTAGTTTCTGTTTTTAGTATCCCTTCACCCTTGTATGACATTTTTAGCATTTATTATATTACAATTTTGCTGTCTATGAATTCTCTGATTGCATTCATCTCAAAATGTTTTTAGTTCAACAAATTTTTAAAGGATATTTTCTCTGGACATGTGATTCTAAGAAGTCTTTTTTCTTTTTAGCACTTTAAAGATATTATTACGTTGTTTTTAGTCCACCATTGTTTAGTCCCCAGAAATTAGTGAATATTTTTATCCTTTTTCCTCTATATGAAATGTGACTTTTTTTTCTCTGGCTGCTTTCAAGCATATCTCTTTTTATTGGCTTGATGTACTTTGACTACAGTTAGCCTATGTATAGATTTCTTAACAGTTATGCTAACTGGAGTTTTTTTTAAGTTCTTGGAACTGGATGGAGGTAGTTTACATTAAATTTGGCAAGTTTTGGCCATTATTTCTTTTAAACTGTTGTGCCCCAAACTCATTCTTTTCTCCTCTGGGAATCTAGTTACATTCATGCTAGACTGTGTTATGTTGTCCTACATGTCTCTGGGGCTCCATCTTTTCTAAAGTGTTTTTATCTCCCTGTTCATCATATTGGATAATTTATAGTGACCTGTCTTCAAGTTCATTAACTCTTTGGTTATATCCAATCTGATGATAAACTTATCTGATAATTTTTTCATTTCTCTTATTGTACTTTCAATTTCCACAATTTCTATTTGGTTCTTTTATATAGTTTCAATTTTTCTGCTGAGATTCCCTATGTATTCACTCCTTAAAACTCCTTACAACCATACTTTTTATGAATTTAATTATGATTATCAGAGCTGCTTTAAAGTCTTTTTCTGCTAAAGTCAACAATGGGATCATCTCAGGTTCAGTTTATATTGTTTTATTTTTCTTTTCTATAAATTACATTTTTTATTTCTTTGTATCTTTTTCTTAAATGAATACTGGACATTACAGATAATCTGTTGTATATTCTAGATTCTGTAATATTCCTCTGATGAGTGTAGGTTCTTCTTTTAGCTGGCAGCTTGATTACTGACATGAACTTGTGTAAGTTTGGCTTTATGCTTTTTTCAGAGTTGACCTATAGAACACCCAATGTGTTTTCTAAGGCTCTCAGTGGGACTGAGCCTACACTTAAGTTGGGATTTATAGCATATGAAGAAGGAAAAGATATGAAAACAATCATACAAATACAAAGGGTGCAGATAAGTAGAATTATATGGTTGTAAATTTTTATACAGTGAAGCTCAAAGTATGGAGTGTGAAGTATCAGGTATAAAAAAGAAGAAAGGGTAATTTAGGAAGTATGAAGTGTCAAGTGTAAAGCATGAATCAGAAAGAGGTACACTATTTTCTCTAAATAGACTCTGATAAGTTAAGGATACATATTTTTGTTATAAAGCAATCAATAATAAATGGATGATAAATAGATGATAGATGATAGATAGATAGATAGGAAACTAATAGAGGGAATAAAATAAAGCACTAAAAAGCTATTTTATTCACCAAAAATAAAGCAGAAATGTTGAAAAAGAGGAATATAAACAAAATGGATTGGTTAAAAATAACAAAGAAAGAAAGATGGTAGTATTAAACTGAGTCATATCATATAGAGAACATTTTGGTGTTTCCCAGATGGGAGAGGAGATAAAAGGGGGAAGGGATTAAGAAGTATAAATTTGTTGTTACACAGTAGTCATGGGATGTAGGGTATAGCATAAGGAATATAGCCAATAATATTGTAGTAACTATGTGTGGTGTCAGATGGGTACTAGACCTATTGGAGTGATGGATGGGAGGGGGGTTGGAGGCAGGTTGAAAAAGGTGAAGGGATTAAGAAATACAAGTTTGTAGTTACAAAATAATCATGGGGATGTAAAGTAAAGCATAAGGAATATAATCAATAATATTGTAGTAACTATGTAGTGCCAGGTGGGTACTAGACTAGTCAGGGGGATCACTTCTTAAACTATATAAATGTCTAATCATTATGCTGTACACCTGAAATTAATATAAAATAATACTGAATGTCAACTGTAATTTAAAAATTTAAAAAGAAGGGAAAAAGTTAAAAAGGAATAAGAGGTTTAAATTTCCAGGTATAAAATAAATAAGTCTTGGGGCTGTATTATACAGCATAGGAAATATAGTCAATAATATTGTAATAGCGTGATACAGTGTCAGATGGTTGCTGGACTATCATAGGGATCACTTCTTTAGGTATATAAATGTGAACTAAACATTTATACCTGAATGTTTATACCTGAAACAAATATAACATTGTATATGTTAGCTATATTTTAATAAAAATATTTAAAAATTTTGAAAATAATAAACAAATCACATCAATAATTATGTTAAATGTAAATGTACTAAATGCTTTATTTAAAAGGTAACACTTTTAGACTGGATAAAAAAGTAATACCCAACTTTATGCTGTTTAAAATACATGTGTTTTTAACTATAAGACACAGATAGGTTAAAAGTGAAGGATAGAAAGGATTTACTAAGCTAATAGTAAGCATAAGAAAGCTGGCACGGCTATATCAATATAAGACAAAATAAACTTCAATACAAAGAGTATTACAAGAGATAAAAAGATGATATTACAAAATGATAAAGGGGCAGTTCACTAGGAAGATACAAAAATCCTAAATATATGTGTCCTTTATAATACATATATATATATATATATATTATATACATATATTATATATATATAATATATATATATATTTAATAAAAACTAATGGAGGAAATTTGATAGTGCTCAGAGATGCTTTCACTTCTTTTTTAGTAATTGATAGAACAAATAGACAAGAACCAGCACTGTCAGCTAACTTGACCTAGTTGACATTTACAGAATAAGAAATTGAAAAAGTTCAGCAGACAGTTTGTTTAAGGTATTCCTGGAAGGTTCACCAATAAAGGAAACATGATGTACTATCAAAAAAGATTCAGTGAATTTCAAAAGACTGAACTCTTTCAGAGAATGTTTTCTGAAAGATTTCATTTTTTGGAATCATATTCTTTTACTACAACAGAAATATATTACAATTTAATTAAGAAATTAGAAAAATCTCTCAAAATATTTAGGAATTAAATACATTTCAAAATAACCCATAGATCAAATAAGAAATCACAAGAAAATGCTTTATCTTGAATGATAATGAAAAACAACATACCAAAATTTGTAAAATGCAGCTAAAACAGTACTTAGAGAGAAATATATGGCTATAAATATTATAGTAGAAAAGACCAAAGTTTAAGATCAATTGTCTAAGTTTTAGCCTTAGAAAACTAGAAAATGAAAAGCAAACTTAATTTAAAAAGAGGTAAAAGAAAAAATATAATAAAGATGAAAATTAATGAAAAATAAGAGATGAACAATAGAAAAAAATTTAAAAAAACAAATGTTTGTTATTCAAAAACACAATTAAAATTGTAAGCCCATGGCAAAAATGATCATGGAAAAAAGAAAACAAGAGTCACCTATATCTGGATTTAAAACGAGGCTATCACAACAGGTCTTATGGACATTTAAACAATACTAAGGGAATATAATTAAATTTTTGCCAATACGTTTAACAACTTTGACAAAAAAATAATGAATTAATTAAAAATTAAAATACAAGAACTGACTCACAAAGAAAAAACTATATTTCTCTGTTTCATAATAAAAAATAATTTAATAAAAAAAACACACATGATACTTAACATAAACTGAGTATCAGTTTCACAAGAAAAAAAAACACAAAAAAATTTAAAAAAACTATATTTCTCTGAATATATATATATATATATATATATATCTGTATAGTCTGACATTTAGAACTTTGTTAATGTTTTGCATATTTGACATACAAGGATGGAGCTGGGGAGAAGACAAAATGGAATATAAACAGAAGAAAATTAACCCTCATGGTGTTACAAATAAATAACAAATCCACACTGAAAGGGGAATAGAAAAATATAAATAAATAAATTTAGAAAACAGCACATTCTAAGGCTAAAATTAAAAGAATAAAAAACAGTACATTAAAAAATCATATTCTATACTCCATTTAGTAGGGCTTATTTCTCTACAGAGGTATAGTTTAGCAATTTCAAAACTACCTTATGTATATTGTAGGATTGAGTAAACAAATAAATATACAATAGATAATAAGAGCCAGTTTCCTATTGTCAGAGAAGGGAATTACAACTAAGGAAAGAAGGACGCCTAGAATGAATCTTGTGGTATCAGATTGGAGGTAAAAGTATAATTCATGGTTGCTAGTATATATATTACAGATAGATATATACATGTATTTTCTTAGCCCTGTCTGCTGGATAGGGTGTGGAACAACTGGACATGCGTTGCATGCATTGCTGATGGGAGTATGAAGTGTTGTGGTGACTGGAAATTTTAAATTAGCACTTAACTATGTAGTCTAGCTATTCCACTGTTATGCCTTTTTTTTTCAAGAGAAATGAAAGCATATGTCCACCCAAAGAGATGTTCACAAATTTCATAGCAGTTTCATTTATAACAGCCAAGCTGGAAATAGTAATCCAAATGTCTAAGTAGGAGAATAGATAATTATATTGTGGTATATTTGTACAGTGGATACATACCACTCAGCAATAAAAATGAATACCTACTATTACACAGAACAACATGAATGATGAGTGAAAGATACCAGACACAAAGGAGTACATGCTATAAGATTTTGTTTATCTGGAATTCTAGATAAAACTAATCTAAAGAGATAAAAATCAAATCATGGGTTATCTGCAGTGAGGATTTGATGTAGAGAGCACAAAGGGATTTTCTATGGAGATGAAATATTCTCTATCCTAACTGGCTGTGTCAAAAGTATATACACTTAAAAATGTTTGAATTGTACTGTATGTAATTATTATTGAATAATGTTAATTTCAAAAAAGAATGGAGTAGCCCAGGCTAAAAAATGTCAAAGCAGAATAGCAAGCTTTTATTAAGTGTCAAACATATCTAAAATCATACTTTGGGACAAGTATCAGGAGGAAAAAAGACAAAATTAATAAAAGATGGTTTCACATTTAGGGGATGGATATTAGTATTTTTTTTTAATCAGATTGTCAAATTTCATGCTCATTTTAAAGACAAATAGTGAAAGAATAGAAAGAAGAGATCTTGGAATATGGAGCAAAATTCAGTAGAACATGCTTTATTTTCTTTCTTTCTTTCTTTCTTTTTTTTTTTATCTTCTAGATAATCTCACCATTGTGCACCATCCAGATGGTAAGTCCCTGGTATTTATGGAATGATTTAAGTCTGAAACAAAGCACATAGTAAACCAATTTCAATATACATTAAATGTAATATTATTAGGCAGGTCAGTGTAAAAACTCAATAGATTTTGTATTTATATGCAAAACCACTTGACATCCAAAATAAATTGTGATGTAGCTCTAGAATAGCAATGCTAGATAGAGGCATTGTTATGTAGTAAAAGAAGCATGTACTTTGAGCTCTGATTGAGCTGGCTCTTCACAACTTACTAGTTGTGTCATTTGACAAGTCACCCAAGGCTTCTGTTTCCTCACTTGTAAAATGTAGGTAAGAATTCTACCATGGGAATTTCTGTAAAGACTGATGATGATATATGTAAATAAGAGCTGATGTTTATGAGTGGGCATTATTGACACGCATAGAGCAAATGAAATTGAAATGACACTTGAGACAGTGATTCACTTTAGTGTGATGGGGAGGAATATGTGCAGAATATTGGGAGGGCAAAGAGAAGGGGCTGTTGGATAATCTCAGAACAATTGTCTATGGCCTGAAGCAAAGCATGGACTGTGGGAATGGAGAAGCAGTAGAAGCGAGCCATGAGGCTGGGATAGAAAATGGGAAGCCTGGTAAAGGCGGGAGGACAGTAGTGTGAGCCAATGGGGAGAAGTAGGAATAAGTTTTCTTATAAAGGGTACTTTGCAGTTGGCCAATCCTGGTGAATTGGGAAAAGAAAAAGAGGAAGAAGGTGCAATCAAGTGGAAGTTGTTATTCAAAGGTGTTGGATTGCTTCTGAGCTGAAGCAACTCCCCCGTATGCTCCCTAAGTCAATCTTACAGGCTGGAGAAATTAATAGCATACTTGCCAAGGGTACCTTTTCAATATGGCCTTTCTTTTCTTGAGTAATTTTTCTCTTTACCCACATCCTACTCTTTGCATATATAATTTTTAAGTGCTGAATAAATGAATCATTAAATGTGTGAATTACTAAAAAGATAGTAACAGAGTTTGTATTTCTAGGTAATGAAAGTGTCCACAGTGAAAGCATGTTATATAGCATACCCTTTGGCAATAAGGTAGGTTATATTTATCTTAATTTTTATAAAAGGCAAAAAGAAAAAAATCTTTGTTGAGAAAGAACGTAAGATCCTTCTATCCTGACTGTGCTTTGAAACATTCTGGAAAATATGAATTTAAAAGGTTATATAAGCATTTGTATGCAAAATCCATGAACAGTAATTTTTTAAAAATTAACTATTTGGAAAAAAGCAAATAAAGGAACTGAAAGAAAAAACTCGTTAAGGCCAAAGGGTGGCTGAATTCCACATGTATGGACCAAATAAATTTTAGAGAAGATATGAAGGCGTCTTCTTTAGCAATAGGGATACAATGAGTCTGTTTGCAGCCCTTAAAGCCAAGCTATAAGAAAAAAATTTAACCCCAAAATATTGTTCATGTAAATATGCATTACTTCACAGTGTAAAGTTAACTGAAAATAATGAGAAGCTAAAAATAACACTACACGTAGACAGCAACAATGGAAACCAAGACCAGTTCAAAACAACACTGATAATGAACCGACCACAAATTTCTCTTCATAAAAATTATGTTATTCCGACTGTTTGTATATGTGATGTAGGAAATTTGCACTGTTACCCAGGATCATGTGGCAACTGGATTTATTGCAATAATCCAGAATTAGAGCCCTTAGTAAGTTCTCATAGAAAACCAATTTCAGTGTGCCAAATTTTAATAATCCTTGATCTCACTAATGTTTTGAATAAATCATAAAGCAATCATAAAACTCATTCACCCTTAGGAACTGATTGAAGTATTTGCATTTGTGGATCATTTTGTGGCCCATCAATGAGCTATAGACCTAATGAGCCTATAATATATTGTATAAACTCATTAGATTCAATCAACTGTAGCAGAATTGTGGGGTACCACCTTGGCCCAGGAATTTATGAAAATGACTTTGTCAAACAAACATCCTTCTACAAGATCTAAAGGACTATACAACCATGACTTCTTTTTTTTTTTTTTAAGTCAGATTTTGGATAAGAGAAAAAGAATACAAATTCCCAATGCTTGAGCTGTTCTCCCTCAAAATGAAAATAAAATTTGAACTTTAAGACTTTGAAGTAGTTGAGCTTTACAATAGTTCTTTCCTTATAAGATGAAGGATTATCTTGCCAGTTGCCTCTACAAAGCTGTTTTTCCATGACTGTGAAAACCAACTATGATTTTATCAAGTTTCTTTGCTCAGCCTTGGAAAAATGCTAGCTAGCTCTGTATTTTTCTTTTTTTTCCTTAGCTTCCTCCTCGGCCCCAAGTTGAAAAGGAATTTGGTCTCTGTTACAGAAAAGATCACTAAGGTAAAAACCAGCCATATTTTTTAAAAACCTATATCAGTTTTATTAGGAATTTGAAGGAATCATTTTGTCTAGCAAACAGAATACTTTAAATATTTCATTTTCTTCTCCTGAAAGAATAAACATGTGTATTTTTTTAGCTGAAGATGATTGTTCCTTAGAAAGATTTATGTTGAGAGGTGATTTTATGCTAGCTAATCAATTAATTTCAATTGATGATCCCTTATTCACTCATACATTTCCTGTGATCTCATTCTCAGGGTATTTTAAAGAAACAAGAATCTGCAGACACTGCTTTCTGGGTGAAGCAAGCTTGCATTTGGATCGCCTGCTGTCTTCAGGGCAAATCTATATATTATGGAAGCAAAAGTAATCCTCTGGATTTCAGGTTTTGTTACTGCCACAATTTATTGGCATTGTGCGTGCTTCAGATGGCTGTATGAAGACTACAATTGGATGCCATAGAGCAATTGCATTCTTTGAAAATTCTTGCATTTTATTATGTACTTGCCACTGAAGCAGCTAGTTTCCATTTTAAAAAATTAAAGGAAAACAAGAGCAGAGAAGTTAAATGCTCTACAGTAAGGTTATCGGGCCTGTTTGTGGAACTCCTTAATAAATTACTCCTCCTGTCCTTAGAATAACATGAAAATACAAATTTTTTTAGTACCTATTGCTTATAAGTGGCTGGTCCATTTTCTGAATTTCTCATATTCAAAACTATAATTATTATTGTCACATCATGTTTTCAGATAGATACCTTCCCTTATTTAGTGCTTATTTGCATATAACCCTGAGAATATTATTTTTCTAACTTTCTGTCTTATATTAGTACACATTTCTACAATCTCTATTCCTTATTAAAAGGCTTACAGTTTCATCAACTTATTTCTAAGACACAATTTACTAACTTAGAATACAAAGCAGTTTTTTCTATGATTTCCATGAAAAATTGCTGCAAATAAAATGAATGTTTAAAACTATGTCTGACTTTTCAAAATCAGTGTATGAGAATTAACCACTAAATTCGTCTGTTTAGCAGTTTATAGAGAGAAGTCTATCAAAATTTTTAAAAATAACTAAACTTGATTAATTTCATTGTGTAGGGCCCATAAATGAGAATAAACACAAATGATATTTTCCTAGCTTCTAAACAGTGATATGAATGTCTATTCAAAGTGAATCTGCAAAATACTGATGAAAGGTTTCTCAGTACTATTAACATTCTTAAATAAGCTCAAGTTGTAAAAAGTAATAGTTCAATTAATCCCTATAGAAGGTGCTTTTGATTAAGATATTTGACAATTCAGTTCATAGTTTCACATCCAAGCTTTCAAGAACTGGCATGCTGTTCCACACACTGAACCCCCATTTCTGTGGATGGTTGCACCCAAATAGCTAGGAAAAACAATAGAAAAACTAACTGCTTTTCTATAGTTTCCTCCATCCATAAACTGTAAATGTATGTATCATCTCTAAAGTGAGAACTTATATGTCGGCTTGTGACTGATGCCTACAATTCCACCATTGGCTTTATTCTTACTAAAAATGTGAAATCCAGTGACAGGTAAAATATTAACTTTCCTAATTATAATGCAATTATGTCATTTCTTACCTGAGACGCAATTTTAAGGGTAGAAGTAGGAGATAAGGCCTGCGTGCTACTCAGGTTTTTAACTTAGGTGGAAATCTAAATTCAGGATTTCTAAATACTACCCTTATAAACTGGGTTGACTTAGAATAAAATAAAACCATGGCAAAAAGCCCCTTTAATGGCCTATTTCCCTAGTTACTTTGGCCTTTAAAATCTTACTACTTTGTCATCACAAAGAAACATGAAAAAAGAAACCTGAACATCACCGCGGTCCTCCTAACGTTTCCTTTGCTGTGGCGCCTCCCGTTCTCGGCTGAGCAGGCTTTGCCGGAGCAGAAGCTGGGGAGAGTTGATTGGAAAAGGTTGGAGTTGCGGAATCAGGAGGAGTCCATATCACCCCTGTTGCATGTTGCACGGAAGGAAGAGATGAAAAATAAAGAAATGCAAAGGCAGATTAATCCAAACTTAGGAATGATCCCAAGTGTTCCACAAACAAGCAATACTCTTTAATCTCTAGGCCTTACCCCTAACATGTAGAATATGTTCCATCAAATTTGAGCCACACAACAAACAGAAGGTTGGCCTTAGTGATGGAAGATCAGAGGACAGGAGCAGAGGGACAGAGAAGTAGACTAGAAAACACTTTCCTTAAAGGTTTGGGGCATTTTGGGCTGGCCGAGTGGCTCAGCTGGTTAAGAGCTCGCTTGGGAGCGCCAGCTCTGAGCAGCAGGGCTGCGGTTCAGATCCCACATGGAGGGCCAGTGACACTCGCCCTCTACAGCTGAGATGATGAACAACAGCTCAACCTGGAGCTGGGCTGCTGTGAGTCACTGGAGATGGTGTAGGCTGCCGCAGCGCTGCAGTGAGCGGCTGGCAGCTGGTGGGTGTGAGCTGCCGGGAGCCGCTGTGAGCAGCTGACCAATAACCGTCAACCGACTGTCTCACCTGGGAAGAACACAATGATTATACCAACATGGGCCAGTGAAGCAACATCCTCCAAAACTAGACTGAAGAACAAAACAGCAATTTGTCTACCTGTCTGTTCCCCTTCCCCGATTCCCCAACGCTGTTTCCCTCCCCGCAATTTCCCAATAAAATCTTAAAAAAAAAAGGTTAGGGGCATTTCTCAAAGAGCCCTAGTCACTGAGAGAAACATAGGACCTCCATGAGAGAAATCTTCTGAAGAATCTGTGAAAGGCAGTGTGGAGATTCCTCAAAAAATTAAAAATAGAATTACCATACGACCCAGCAATCCCTCTCTTGGGTATCTACTCAAAAAAGTCTGAAAACATTTATCTGTAAAGATATATGTGCTCCAATGTTCACTGCAGCTTTAAATACGGTGGCCAAGACATGGAAACAACCAAAGTGTCCTTTGATAGATAATCGGATAAAGAAGTTGTGGTATATACACACAATGGAATACTATTCTGCCATTAGAAAAGATGAAGTAGTGCCATTTGCGACAACATGGATGGATCTTGAAATTATAATGCTTAGTGAAATAACAATACTTTAGTGGTTACCAGAGGGTAGATGAGGGTAAAAGGGATCAGATATATGGTGATGGAAGGAAAACTGACTGTGGGTGGTGAACACACAATGCAATATACAGATGATGTATTACAGAACTGTACACCTGTAACCTATGTAACTTTACTAACAATTGTCACCCCAATAAACTTTAATTTAAAAAAAAAAGATTCTGTGCTGATTCTGGAAGCCTGAGCAGCCAATGGTTACTGTACTTTGTCTTTTCCTTCATCTCTTCCTCGGATCAGATTTGTTCCAAAACAATTACTCCCAACTTGAGCCAAGAGCCAGACGCTTCCTCAGGTTCTTAAATTTACCAGGACCCTGACTTCTACAGGTACTGAGTGTTATCAAAGGAGTTTTATGTTTAATATTAATTCCTTTCTTTTCTACTAGCCAATTTTCAAGAATAACAAAGAGGAAGCTTCTAGACCAGTGATTTTCAAATGAGGCAATTTTGCTTTTCTTGCCCCAGACATTTGGCAATGTCTGGAGACAGTTTTCATTGTCATGACTGCAGAGAAGGAACTCCTGGCATCTAATATGTAGACACAAGGGATGCTAATAAATCTTCTGTGATACACAGGACAAAGAATTTTCTAGTCCAAAATGTCAAAATTATGTCAGTTGAGAAAACTTAATCCAAACTACCAAGTACCTAAATGGGATTAATGCTTAAAAGAGTGTTGTTCAAATAAAAGCAGTTAACTTTATACAGAATTTTCTGGAAGTGGAAACCCTTATGATAACACAAATGAATGTCTTTATTTTGCAATACATATGGCTTAAGTTTAAATGGATCATTAGATACTCAAAAGAATAGATGACTTTAATAGATTTTCATAAATCAAACATTAAACTATTCTACCAATGGAGAGTCCAATTTTTAGAAAATGAAACTCTTCTCAGCATTTTTCTAATGAGAATAACCTCGTCACTTGTGTCATTATTATATCCTGTTTGTGTAGTATGTATTTGTGCATCTGAGTTTCTTCTTGTTTTCTCTAATGCTCAGGGGGTCTGATTTTAATAACTTGGGCTTAACTGAATTTTACTGCATATTGCTTTTCTAAATGGGTAAATATTAAGAAGCCAGATCTGCATCAGGAGCCTGATGAAGTGGGACCCAGCGGATCAGCACCAAGCTGGTCTGAGGCCTCACTTGCAGCCCTGTGTGTAGCTGTACCCACCAGCCACCCTTGTTGGCCTGCCTTATCTTGGGGGGCTGACCTGTAAAGATGGGCACTACCACCTAAAAGACAGCAAAAGGCAGGGTTCTCAATTCAATAGACCTCAAATTTATAAATTACAGTGTATGATTTCCTCAATATTCTCATCTTGAAAATGCAGGTCACAATGCCTCTTACATAATTTTATGGCTAATGCTTCTTACATAATTTTACATGACTGAGGCAGTACTGTTTTCAAGAGTATAAGCTTTAAGGTTAGACTGACCTAATTTGGATATTGTCTCAGCTATATCCCAGCTGTGCAAGCTAAGCCAGTTTTTCAGTCTTTCTGGGCCCTATTTACTCACTGGTAAAATGGGTATTATAGTGCCAATGTTAACATAGGTTGTTTGATAATTTAATATAAGGAGATCATTTAATTAATTTGTCTTTCAAAGAGGACACTTTTGATGGTAAAATGGAGTACTGTTAATAATAATGATGAAAAAGCAGGCATGAATCCGGACTACCTCAGGCCTAAGCTGGGCACACAGTGACTTTACTAAAATGAAATGTAAATGCTTAGAACATCTTGGCTTGGAGTAAATTGTCAGTGAAGATAGTTTGCAAAACATAATCCTCTTTGAAACGTGAATGCTGTGTGATATACTAGGCTGGCTTATTGTCTGGCTCTTAGGTACAGCCTTATAGCGTGTGATTCAAATCCATATCATTATATAAAAAACCAAATCATGACAAAATATGACCACTTAGATTACCCACAAACATCAGAAGCCTCAGGTAGAAAAATCTGTCAATGGTAAGGTACTATAGCTGTGTTTCCCAAGTTGTGTTACTCATAGCTATTTCATTAAAAAGGGGTTCTGTAATCAGATGAGCTTGGAATGTGCTATGCATCTTAGTCCCTTTTAGAATAGCATGTTAGTCATCCAAGTATTGAAGATTAAGTAATCCTACAGTAAAAAAAATCTATAATTTACAAATATGTAGTGATTGAAAGAGAACTGACCTTGCGTGGTGAGCACACAATGTGATATATAGATGAAGTATTACAGAATTGTACACGTGAAACCTATGTAATTTTACTAACCAGTGTCACCCAAATAAATTTAATTTTTACAAAAGAAAGAAATGTATAGTTTTAAAAATACTGGAGATTTTCTTTTCCACTTAATGGGAAAAGAAAAACTGGCTGAAGGATGCATGCAGTGATGTGTTGAGATGGACCCTAAAACCTGGATTTAATGGGAAACAGTATCAGGATCAATTAGTGATGTTTGCCGTGGATAATGGTGTGATGGGCTGAGGGGAGTGGCAGCATGCATGATACTTATTTGGCATTCAGGATTTGCACTTGGGTAGCATAAAGCCAAGTATTAAGTTGTGAATTTTGCAAATAATAAAACTCGGTTTCAGTCAGAATAAAGATCACTCGTCTTCACACAAATGAGCTAATAAACCCATCTCCGAGTAAAACACTGTAATTGCTATTATGCAATATTTTGTATGTCTTCAAATCAACATCAATCTTGGTTCCACTCAGAAGTGGTGTAAAACCATTCAGAGATACCATGCTGTGAAATGTATCAAACACTAAACCAATTTCTGAGTATGCAAACCAGTGGGATAGTTTTACTCAGAGTGCCATTTTT